AAATCTCGGCAGATATTTTAAGGACTTGCCAGGCATCTTTACGCAGAGAGCTATTTAAATTTATCATATTTTCGCTGATGTCTCGCCAAGCGTGATATTGTTTTCAGCATTCGACGCTCATCACGGCTTAGCCCTTGAGCTTACGATCAATGCTGGTCAATACGATCAATACGATCATGCTGGTTAAAGATGCTGTTGGATTACTAAACTGTTTTTTTGTAGTAAATGTAAGTTAGAATGCAATGATAAACCACTAAAAACTTGAAACGTTTGTCGGACGTGTCATCTGTGACTGTGAAGTATTTGCGTGTGATTTAAGGGTGAGCAGATAGTCGTAATCAACTGGCACATTAAGGAATATTCAATCGTAACAAAATGATTCGCGGAGCATATTTATGCAGCCCAAACTTGCGGTTCGAATTTTTGGGCATGCATTTTTCAACAGTCCCGCTCCCACGATCGGCTGGCCGCAGTGGGCGGTCAGGCGATCGACCAGCGACCAGCCGGCCAGCCGGAAGCCCAGCTTGCCGCGGACGAAAAGGCCAGGTTTTTGCGCCTAGTTATCCCGCGATACTGCTGGGAGTGAGAATGTTGCACGAAAAGTCACGAGGAGCGACTCATGAGACAACCCGGCGGCTCAGTATCCCTGCCGCACTCCTGCGAACTTAGCTGATGCTAATGCATTCACGCACAGAGGGAGCAGAGAGACGAAGGTAGCGCCAGTATGAAAAATAAAATGGACAACCCCTGACCATGATTCACTTCGTTAAAGTAAAAATGGCTTCCAGGACATGCTTTTTTCGGCATTTGGAGTTCTTATGCTGAGAATAAGCAGCCTTTAGCACGCCAGGAGGTGTAGCTTAAAGACAATATCAATCCTCATTAGGATGCGTTGGGAGGATACCCAAAGATTCATGACATTACGCACGACCTAATAATGGCTTGGTATCGTTGCTTGACCATGCCTCCTGTTTAAACGGAGATCGGTCATTTTCAACACGCAAACTAATGATGTCATATTTCAGTCAGCTGAATGGATAGCCGAATTTTTAGAAACAATATTTCAGCGCATTACTGCTTGTTACGCACATCTTCCAATGTTCAAAACACTTGATTTCATCGGTATTCAGAGGAACCAATGCTTGAATGTGGGTTCGCTCACGCACACACACACACACACACACACACACACACACACACACACACACACACACACACACACACACACACACACACACACACACATACACACACACGCACACGCACACACACACACACACACATAGGTATATATATATATATATATATATATATATATATATATATATATATATATATATATATGCAAGGCATTTTCGCATATCCTCAAAAATATAACATTCCAGTTCCTATGCAAGTGCCAACACTGATGCTTATAGCCACCAGAACCGAAATGCATCTGCATGCATATATATATATATATATATATATATATATATATATATATATATATATATATATATATATATACACACACACACACACACACACACACACACACACACACACACACACATATATATATATATATATATATATGTGTGTGTGTGTGTGTGTGTGTGTGTGTGTGTGTGTGTGTGTGTGTGTGTGTGTGTGTGTGTGTGTGTGTGTGTGTGTGTGTGTGTGTGTGTGTGTGTGTGTGTGTGTGTGTATGAGTGTCGATTTGGATCTTTTCCATAGTGTTGTATTAAATTATCATTTTCTTTGCATTTCATGCCGATATCTTACCATTTGATCATTTATGATTTCGATGTTTACATCCGCATTTATTTATCACCTCGGAAGTTTGGTACCAGATCATTTACGCTAAATTTGCTTCCATTCGACCACTAGCCATTCAGCATTTGGTTTGGTAATAACTTCGTTACACTACAGCCGCACTGCGTGTGCTCAGCGGTATTCGAACAGGCGTCGAATACCGCTGAGCACGGCGTAGCGTCGCCGCCGCCGCGCCGTGCCCGACCGTTCTCAGCGGCGTGCTGTGGCGCCGACGCCCGTCAGCGGCTCGGCCATATATCGCGGCCGTAGTGGCGGCGTGCCGGGACGGCGCGGCCGGCGGCCGTGATGGGTGGCTCGGCGGCGCGTATAAACCAGCCGGGCGGCGGCGCGGCTTTGTACGCCCGTTCCGGCCGGCCGGGCCGGTGGCGGCCGTCCGATCCCCAGGCTCTTGCGGTGCCGCGCGCAGCTGAGCGCAACTCCTCCGCCGCCGCACCGCCAGCGACAGCCGTGCGGCCTGGCCCTCTTGCGGACAGGGGGATGGATTCGAGATGGCAAAACGCTGTGGGGGATTTCAACCGTAAGAAGTGCCCGTGGACCCTGCTGGGGTGCGCTGGGGGGACCACGCAGGGCCACGTTGGGGGGACCAAGCAGGGCAAGTCGCGTGATTTTCTTTCGGTCAAGAATACCGTCTGGTGCCGACAGCTGTCAGTGCTGCACTCTAAAGCAGGCCAAACCGCTTGGCATCTATCACTATCACTCATATATGCCAGGACCCAGTTCCAATTTGTTTTTGGCTGTGTACTGCACCTCTGAGAGTCGCTGCTGATATAGCATAGCGTAGCCGCTACTTGTCACTGTCAGTACTGGGTCCTGTCCAAAGTCCAACGGGGGCGGGATCAAAAGCAGCCGTAGTTCCTTTTAACGTACTGAAACACGCAAAGTGCTTGAGAATACGCGCGTTTCAAATCGCATAAGACAACGACCAGCATTGTCATGTCTCCCACGCTTGGTCGTCTACTACTCTAATCCCACCTGGCATCGGTTGATGGAGACCTGGCCTTCAAGGAACGCCTTGGTACAGTATCGGGGACAACTCGTCCACGTCTTTTTGCCATATGAGGTTCACAAACGCCTGACGGCCCCGGTTAGAGCAATATCGCCTTTGATACGCGTTGTTTTTCTCTGGCTAGCTGTGCCCGTTCCCGTTTGTTGCTGGTCTTTCCGTTCTTTCCACCAGGCCCGACGATAGCCCCAGTAGGAGACTGACATCCTGAGCAGGCCTTTGAAATATTCAGGTCACCTGCTATGTGTCTTACCATACGTCATAATGCTCGACATTAGTAGCATACCTATAGGTCACTGCAAACCATATACCAGCGGAGTTGATGAAGCGACATTCAATGACATTCGTTTCGTTGCCCTACCAGGCTTGATTCATAACATGGCGTGTTATGACTTAAAAAACCTTAAAAGCTTACATGCGCTAAGACATACCATGATAAGCGTGGTCATGACGTATAATTATGTCGCATGCTAACTCACAGGCCATTTAGCAGACATAAATGTTCGAACTTCCTTAAACTTCCTCGGATCCACTTTAAATAGGGCCAATAGTTCATTCCGCTGCCGTACCTAACGACGTGGTGTAAGGCTCATGAAGTTGCAACAGATCATAAGACGGCCCAAATGCAGAGCTTGTCCGGCTCGTGAACCGTCGGCCGCTGCCCGTGCTGCTGGGGCATGGCTCTTAACGCCCGGCGAAGGCTGCCACTGCACCAGCTGGGCTGAGGAAATCAATTGGGAAAGTGGGTCGGCCTTTCAGCACAAGTCTTGCAGCGTGCTGGGAACACTGCAACCCAACTAAGCCGCAGTGGATTGGGGGGGAGGGGGCACAGAGCCAACACCCAGCTAGTCAGTGCTTTGATCAGTGTAGATGCGTCACGGGTGGTTGAAGAACAACAAACCGATGTGCTCTGACTCTGTAATATGTGCCAAAGTCGTACGATGGACATACAATAACATTCAGTTTCATCGTGGCCTTGAATCTTCATCTCAGAACGGTGCGTTCCGTCATAGCTTCTTGGCTTGAAACTTTGCGAGTTAAAATACTTCAATGGATTTTAACGCTTCATTAACCTTTCCTCTATTCGTTCCTTTGGCTAATACCACTCATTTTTCCACATGGCTGTCAGCTATATTTTGCTCCATGTCGTATTTAGATGCATGACTGTGTCTTCTCAAGGATCTGCAGTGCAAAATGAGCGCATTTGCATGGCAACAAAGCGTTAAGGGAATTTATCTGCAATCACGTCGGATAGGCATTGTCATGAGCTCCCAAAATGATAATGACGCGTTTGACATGCAGACTTCGCACGGCTCGGCAGCATGTAGGCCGAGTTTGTTCAATGCATGGTTTTCGGTTGCTTTTGATCAAGTTCTCAAGCCCCGTTTACTAGACGGAATTTCCTAATGTCATATCTCAGTGCTTAGTTCTGGCGTCGCGTGATCCTGAGTAAGTCTGAGAAAGGTTTGACACCTGAGGCGACGTTCATGAATGTTCGAGTAAAATATCATCACGGCACAGTTCGTGCTAAAGCCGGTTACGCCCGTGGGCCCGGAAGAGCGGCAGCCTCGAGCTCAGCAGATTACAGCCAGCCTCAGAGCATCACTGGACGACCTCCGTACGTTATCAGAGCTCTCAGCGGGTGACCTTCCCCACTGGTGACCTCCTTGCCGCGACTGATGACGTTCGCCAACCCTCAGCGGTGAACCGTCGGTGACTGGCGCCTCGGGCTGACCCCCTCCCTTGGCCCGACCTCGGTACGTTTTCAGAGCTCTGAACGGGTGGCCTTCCCCACTAGTGACCTCCTTGCCGTGACTGATGACGTTCGCCAACCCTCAGCGGTGAACCGTCGGTGACTGGCGCCTCGGGCCGACCCTCTCCCTCGGCCCGAAAGCCGGGCGGACCTGATGACGTCAGCCATCATCATATCCCCCGTCAGGCAGCTCCACAGCCCCCCCCCCCCCCACCACCTTCCGTACGCCTCCAGCTGATCAACAATGTCGGCGTCTCTCCCAAACCGGCTGACAATATATTCGGACGCCGGCCGAACCAGCCTCGGTTGCTGTATATGCATGATGGTAACCAGGGGGACGGTCGATAGCCACGCCTGCGCGCTGCCGGGCTGGCCGCCGCCGCCGCCGCCGCCGCCGCCGCCGCCGCTGGCGCCGCAGGCTTCGCCGGTCGCGCCACAGCAGCGCGTGTGCCCTAGAGTGACCGTCGACGCCGCCGTCAGCAGCCGCCTCTCGGAGCAACGGAGTGACGTGAGTGTCACTGGCGGGCGCCGGGGCGGAGCCAGCAGCTCGCCCTGAGCATCGGGTTGGGGACGGAACATATGGACGAGAGAGGTGGACGGGCGCTTTAGACCGGGTGCGTGGACGGGGGCTAACTGGGGCGGGAGATATGGACGGGAGTCGGGTGGACAGGAGCCGGGGGCCATCACATTCGAACACACCCGGCCGGATGTGCACCATTTTAAACAGCATTAGTGGCCGGGTGCTTTCATCATTTAAGTAAGCTTAATTCTGTAATCATGACCCTTGTGATGCGGCATGCATTTTTCCACCTACATGTTCCTTTATAACTCTAAATTCCCAGTAGAAGGTTAGCATGTCTTGTCGCTAAGACGCTGAGAGACCCGTCACTTCGAACTTAACGTACGACCTAAGATTTTGCACAGGTCTCTAGAGCACCAAGCGCGCAGGAACGCCGAAATGGGTAATGCGCAGAGCGTATACTTTCTCAGCAGGAAACAACGTGAACGGTAGCGTTTGCTTGCTAATGGTCTGGAACTGGCGTGAAACAAACCTCTGAGATAATTATTTCGTTTTTCCCGATTTGCTGACGTCTTGCACCTGACCGCCTATACCCATATAAAACAACGGCCGTGATCATGTTTTTGCACGCAAGTGATAACAAAGCGATAATGACACCCCCTAATGCCGCACGCATTCTCCAGCTCAACTACTGCATAAGTGGCCACAGTTATATGCTTGAAATGGGAAGCGGCGATGGTAGCAATACCGCCAAGTGAAACGAGTGATTATTCCCTGAATAGATGCAGCGCTGTCGCACTCAGAGTGGATTGCGTACGAAACAGAGGCCATAATAAATCACAGATTTACATGTCGATGGCCTCTACAGCGGGCCTGCGAACCATCAAACCGAACTATTGAGCGGGTTCTGCACTCAGCACGGCGTGGGGCGCTGCACCACCGTGTCTACCCTCTCCTCCAATAGCCAGCCGGGCTGAGCTCATCCATCACCTCCCAGTGTCGCCAGGCCGCTGACAATGAGCCGCCTGCTTCGGCTGTATTTTCGGCGCCGAACTTGAGCGGCGGACGAGCGCTGATGACTTTGCCGCGCGGCGCGGCCGCTGCCAGCGCGCGCCTTCGGCGACGGCCGGGGCGCGGCAGTCGATTTTAGCCGTGTTTGCCGCCGACCGACGTCAGCCGACGGCGGCCGCGAAATGTTTACCGTGTTTAGCGGCCGGTCGGCCGTCGGACTGACGCGACGCCCACGGTTTTGGCTGGGGTTTCGCCGACCGCGGGCGCTTGTCGCCGGCAGCGTTGCGAAAGGCGAACGCCATCTGTGTCGTGCCGCCGCTTGGACCTGAGGACTCACAGATGCCGACCCGATAAAATAACGTGCTGTCTGTGTTCTCTGGACTCTGGCTTTTGCGCGAATGTTTGGGCAAGTGCCGCCGTTCTAGCACGTAAAATGGCACGATCAGAACCTCGTATACGTGAGTCATGCATGACGTCACATTCGCACGCCGTATGCACATGATCAGGCCGCACACCTTTATTTTACAAAGCAGAACGAGGTTAACTGACACCTCCGCAATTATGCTTTGTAGTGGGAATGTGAATGTGAAAAGAATCGCCCTAAATATCTCCTGTTCTGAGCCGAGGCAACAAAAAGCCGTAAGCAAACATCGTCTGTCGACCATACACAAGAAGACTGACACATGCGGTTCTTATCGATCTTGGCTGACACCAAGTTGATGGCGTCACAGCCCCAGCCGAGAACGTCAGAATGCTGCTCTGAAAAATCTCGACGATGTAGGTCGTCATTCATCATAGACGTCGCGACCTGAAAAGTGGCACACCAACGGGCATTGTTCCACACCCAAGCGAAAAAGGGCGGCACCAAAAACGGATCGCGCGTCACCGTCGCAAAAAGTGGCACGATGAATGACTCCGCCCTGCAAACATTTGCGCTCGCCGAGTGGCTCTCCTCTCGGTGATCGCATCTGAGAGCGCCGGCCGAGTGGCCCGCCAGTCAATATCGGCGCTCTCATCTCTCCCGTCTCGAAGCGGCCCGATCCTGCTCTCCATGCCGGCGGCGCCCGCGGCGCCCGGTCCACGCCCGCCATCGGGCGCGGAGCCGGGCGCGGCCGCAGGTTATTACGCGGCGCTGATCGCTGTGGCGCTGTAGCCGGCTCCGCGCGGGAACCGGCTCCGCGAATCAGCTTCGCTTGGACGATGCTCCCGGCTGCCCGATGGTGCCGGGAGAGAGTGCTAGGAGCGGCGAGGGCGCCGAGAACGGAGAGAGCGCTGCTGCGGGAGGGGGGCCCACGCCGCCCGAGAGGCGGCCGCACTCGTGACGCGGCCATGTTTAGCCGCGGCGGACGGCCAACAACCGCAGACCGGGATGGTTGGTGTCGGCTGCAGCCAGTTGCATTACAGGAAAATGATATCGTGCCTAGATTTGTTGTGTCAGGGAATCCGTACATGTTTAAAGCCTGGCTAATTTATCCAGATATGATTAGAGATTGATGTTTCTCTGGAATTGCGACACCAAATCTTGCGAGCATTTAATGACATCTGGGCGACATGCTCTGAATGGAACTAAAATTCGTGACCTGAAGCTTCAACATATAGGGAGTATGGTTAACTGTTGAAAAAATGCTTAAAGGAAAGCTTACGAGGTCGTAATTTCAGAGCATACAGTAGTATCGATTGGGGAAGGGTGACAGATCCCTGAGCTGTTAAGTAACCACGTCGCTTTTCCTTTGTGCCAGGACTCCTATTATCGGTATGGAAGGGCATGGCGTTGATTTTTACCTGCCTGTGACGATAGCAAAAGTCAGGCCTCTAAAAGAAGGCCAATTAAAGCGATTTACCGAAGCTTGCGCCCTGGTATGTCGTTCGTAACAGGTGATCTGTGGTGTGTTTATCGGCATCCGATTACTATCTGAATTACCAAATTTCCAGCGACTGACGAAAGTTATATCAAAACTTGCAGAGGAATCGAGGCATTATTGGCAACTTTCAAGTGCTGCCCAAAACTATATCTGAAGCTGCTCCGCTCTTTCAGAGAAGCTGGGACATATCTAGGTCTGATATTTGGCTCTTCAGCACCGCATGCCCGTCGCTTTAATAGACACGCGATTGCGCTGATATGCCGCGGCTTCATAGCCATAAAGCAGGCGGATCTCCAAGGTCTACAAATACAACAGGATAGAGCCCATTAGAACATTAAAATCCGGGGAAACAACCCGCGAGCGCCCTCGGTTATGAGGTGAATACCCCATGTAAAGCTAGATTAAATCCTTAAACCAATGCATTGTCAGGACACATTTCTAAATCGCGCCACTGCTGCACATACATACTGTACTTTGACAGCTACATAAAACAAGAACACATACAACTGGCACCTCTCGGCTATGCCCAAGGGTGGTGAAAGGGTAGCTTTTCCTTCACCGACCGAATTCCTACAGGTGCAACTGTCGCCAGCAGCGTAGCACGATGTCATATTACATACAGTGACGATGAGTCTTTTTGTGTTTTAATAGCCCATTCAATTTTTTCGGCAATTTGATTAGAACATACGTTATGGGCGCAATATGACCGCACAATCGATGCGCCCGAAAACCCCAATCACTTCTACTACGAAGTCCATGCTCAATCGCGCCGTCTGGTTCTGGCTTGATTTAGCGTATCACCGACAGCCTTTGCCATCGCCGCAATTGTCAATAGCATGCACACACAACTAAAACGTTCACTTATGCAACGTAGTTCAAGTAGTGTAAGGAAAACTGCTACTGCAGGCACCCCGGCCCGAGGTTATGGAATAGTCCAGTCACAAAAGCAGTCTTCTTCCGCCTTCGGACCTTGCTGGGGCTTCTGGTTTAAACTCGATCTAGGGCTGAATTTTCTTCTTTCGATTGCGAAAAATGATGAAGCATTTCGACAGTAGTGCAGCCGAAAACATAGCAGATTTTAACGGGTGGAAGCTGGTACTGGGGGATGAAGTCTATTGTTTCGGTCTTTTCGAGGCTGTGTGCATTACCGAAACCTCATGTGGTCCAGAGGCCCTTACCATCCGCCATCATACTCTTCAAGGCCCTAAACTCTCCACCACACCTTAAGAATGTTCCAAGCCTGGCGCGACATTCGTGGCCTGTTGTGCGCCTTTCATCGCGCCCAGAAGTCGGTGTACAACTGCCTTTTCTAGGTTTTCGCGCTGCCGTGAAAGGAAGGAGTATATTGGGTTCCAGTTGGGCTCAGATTGAGGTGAAGTTGACTGAATTGCTGCTGAGGAAAAGATAGTTAAAATGTGTTGGCAAAGTGCCTCACTGGGTTTACGGAAAGATGGGATCATCGGGCTGCATAAAGAAGAAAAAAGCCTCTTTTCACCTTTATTTCACACGCAGCAATGATCACAACAAAACAAAGATCACTTATCCGGCATGGGCTCCGCCCAGCGTGAGATGCTGTGGCATACTTTGACAAGGTGAAGTTGCTCAGCATTTTGGCAGGAGCCTGAGGACTTTAATTTCAAAGCCCCGCAAGTGTGATATTTTTTGACGAACTGATGTGTCTGTCGCTTTTTGAAAAAACAGCCTGACTGTACTTCGCAATGCACACAACTGTATCCACGCACAAACTTGTGTCTGAACACTGCCATATTCTGCCCTCGAGCGGCGTGCCATTTATGCGCCCCGAGCGTGTGCGCAGATTTCAGTTAACACGTGATTGCTGGCAGCGCCCCTTAGAACAGTAAAACTCCGCCGGAGCTATTCAGAATGATATTGGATCATGTGTGGAAATCCGGAGATCATTAAATTTTCCATGGTGTGTATGGCAAGAGCCTCATCTGAGCACACCAGTGCCTACTGGTCGATCCAGGACTCGGCCTTGTCGTGGTCATACATTTCAGTCGAACTAAAAGGTAGAAGGCAACTCTCTGTTGGTTCGCAGCAATCCGCCTTACATTCCACCGCGGGCCCACTCAGTCGCTGACTTGGACTCCTTTA